TTAAAAATTTTCTTTCTTTCTACCTTTATTTCTCTTAAGAAATTATGTTGTATTCATTTGCTATTAAGCTCCTAGTTCAGCCTTCATTTCTAAAACGTTGATTTCAAATTCTTTCTTAAACTGTGTTGTTTCATTTCTGAACTTTCTAATTTGATTTATGTTGTTTTTCCATGTCTTACATGATTTCTTTAATGCCACTGAATGTACATGAGATAGTACATTGGGGTCTTGATCTATTTTTTGCATATCTTTTTTTGCATGCTTTCATTGTCTGCAGATATTTTTCTTCTTATTCCCTTTCTTTCTTAAGTTAATGTCCTATCGAATTTGGCCTCAATATTTTTCTATTGCTAAATTTTTATGCATATGAATTTGATTTTTATGTGACTTTAAAAAGACACTTGGTTCAGGTAGCTTTTCTAACTTCACAGGGTTCCTTCACTATATTGTATCAGTGTAGTGTTAAATATTCTGGCTTGCTTTCCAAGATTTCCTAGTTCTGATGTGTTCCTCTGCTTTTATTTGGAGCTTGTTCTTCCATTAATCTTGCTCAATTTTGATTCTACTCTGAACACTTTCTCCTCTGTAGGGGCCCTATCTTGAAAGGAGCCCCAGCAGGTTAGTTTAGAAACTTCATAGCAGCTAGACTCTCCATTCCTTTTAGACTTTCCAGATGTGGATCCCTCACACTCACCCCTTATTGGATTTTAGCTGCTGAACTCAAATTGCCCCAGTCATGATTTCCAGTGAAAACCTTTGGGCTATTTTGGACTCTCTGTTCTCAGGTCTGTCAGATGTCTGTTGCTTCTCTCTTATTTCTCCTGCACAGACACAAATAACACTTCTTCTGGCTATTATTGGTGGTTTGTCCCCAAATTGTTATACTTACAGGCTCATAGAAACATCTTGTCATCTAGTTTCATGGAAATGGATTTTGATTTGTTGTCCTTGGAGTTTTGCATTTTCCTTCTAGTTGCCCTGTCTGTTTTTATGTGGAGATTCAGGAAGATCTAAAACCTATGCCACTGCTGCCACTGTCATCTTCCCGGAATTCCCTGTCACTTATTAAGTGTAATAATTTATATGAACACTCTTTTGAATTCTCTACACATATAGTCATATTGTCTGCAAATAAGTTTTTTCCTTCCTTTCCAATATTTAATCAGTAATATCTCATAGTCCTTCAGTCTATATTTTTGTTTGTTTGTTTTGGTTTTTTAGTTTCAGTTTTAGCTTCAGTTTTTATTCTATAGCCCACTCTCTCCAAGCATATACAAGGAGTGCCATTGACAGTAATGACTTGTTACTTTCAGAACCAAATTTCTCTTGGCTTAGATAAAGAAGGGCACTGCCTCTTGAGGCAGCCTCTGCTGTGTACTGCCAACTTCATGGTGTCCCTGTGGCAAAGAATGCAGAGCATGGGAAGAATCCATGGCACGCTGCTCTGCTAGGAAACAGTAGCCATGGGAGATGCGGAGTTGGTGCTCACCTACCAGGCCTGAGCAGAAGGGAACCAAAGAGGACTTCCCCAAACATTTCCAGCTATTCTTAAATTCCACTTTTAGCCATTTATGCACATGAATTAAGGCACCCCAAGGAGCAGAACTTTACTTATGTAGCGCTTTTAAATGTTAAAGGTCTATTGTCAATACATCAGCTAGATTTCCTGTTACATGTAAGTCAGGGTATGTCATTCCTCAGCTCCCAGTCCTACAGTGGGTCCCATAACACTCAGAGTGAAAGCCGAGGCCATTACACTGCCCTACACGAGTCCACATGGTCTGGCCCCTATTACCTCCCTGACCTCATCTTCTCTACTCCCTGCCTCATTTTCTCTGCTCTAACCACACTGGCCTCCTTGCATTTCCTTGAACACGAGGTATGTTCCTACCCCAAGCCTTTTTCATTTTTCTATTCCCTCCACCTGGAATGATCTTTATCCAATGACTCGTTTTTTAAACTTTTTAAGTCTATTCTCAAATGTTACCTTCTTAGTGAGGCCTTCCCTGGTCAAACTATCTTCAATAATAGCTACCACCCTAACATTCCCCATTTACTCTCCCTGTTTTACTTTTATTTTCTGCTCTAATCACTAATATTCCATATATTGTATAATGTATTTTGTGTTTTATCTACCGACCCCTCTAGGAAAGCAAAGTCCATGAGGAAAGTGATTTTTGCCTACTTTGTTCTTTGATGTAACCCCAGCATGTAGAACAATATCTGAAGCATTGCTGGCTAATTCAATAATATTTATTGAAATACTAGGTACACTTGCAAGAATCGGATTATGAGAAAGCCTTCTAAAAATACAGATCTCTGTGGTTAATAGTGCTTTTAATGGTATAATAAGACTGAAAGGATAGCTTAGAATCAAGGGCCACAATGGGGAAGGCTGAGAATCAGGGCTCTGGAGGCCACACTTTGAGTTCCCGGAGGGAGCAACCACCAGGAGGGAGAGAGGAGAACAGTGGAAAGCAACTGCTTTACTACGGCACAATTTTATGCAGATGACATTTAAAATTTTTATTAAAAATGCAATATCTGCAACTGAATTTAAATATTATTGTATTATTTTTATTTTGTTAAAATACTTTTCTTCCTCCTGCATGCACATATGTGTGCATAGCTACATACACAGTCACAAATTTAGAGATCCCAGAACTAGAATGAAATAATGCATCTGATTGTGATGCTGCATCTTTGAGCAAATTTTATTGTTCAATAAAGCACTTTTAAAACTGGGTTATTTTATTTTTCCTTGTCTGATCTTATAAGCTACTTATTTGTAAGATGTATTTTTATTCACGATGCATCTTAATATTTTATTCTTTATGCCAAGTCATGCTCCCACTGCGAATAAAAAAAGGCAGCAAAATCTTTAATAGAGTGAAAGAAATATAGATGTTTCTAGTATAATGCTGTGTATAGGTGTTCCTCTCTTAACAGAATATATAAATGCTTGCTAAGGCTTGCATTCTGCAAAATTGTATATAAAAATAATGTGTTGTGGGAAAAATAGGATGGAACAATAACACTCAAAACATTTAACTGTGTGACCAGAGTGCTAATAAAATAATAATTATTTCCGCTAAAACACTATCACTCAGTAAATGGCCACTATCATTGGTACCCAGGATTGCAATTGACTTCTGCAGTTTTAAATCTCAACATATAGATCCTCAGGGGCATTCATCTCCAATCGGTAACACTGCACCAAATCTGCCCTGGACCTGTGCTTTCTTCAATAATTAATTGAAGTTTTTGAACATAAGGCAAATGTCTTTTCTGCTTCTTCATCTATTTCTACCGCTTCATATTGTAAGGGGGGACACCAGTTCTTGAAGACATTAAACCAGTCACCACTTGCCCCAAGGGAAGTAACTGCCATAGTATTCTTAGCTTAAGGCTTCCTTTTTTAACCTTGAGAAAGCTTGTCCCTGAATGCTTTAAACTATTGATCTGCTGAGGAAAAATTACATATAAAACAATGACATCTTTTCTTATACCAACTATCACCACTGAGTATTGCTTTATAGAAATGTGTGCAGCTGAAAAGACTGTGCTCCATGGTTCTCTAACCTTGAAATGCATGATTTCCCTAGTTATTTTCTTGGCAACAACTATAGTTGGATTTAAATCTCCTTCCTCCCAGGATCACTGAACACATATTTACTGAGCACCTATTATGTTCCAGTCTGTGCTAAATGCTGGAGACAGTGGTGAACGCGATAGGAAAGACAAGGTCCCTGTGTTCGCAGACTTTACATTCTGGTGGAAGACACAGACGACCAACAGGTAAATAAACAAATATGGTACTATCAGACTGTACTTGCTATAAAGAAATTAAAACAGGGTGATGGGATATGAAATGAGTGAAGACCACTGGGTAGAGAGGCTGCTTCTCTGAAGAGATGACGCTGGAGCCGAGACCTATAAGATGAGCAGGAACCAGTCATGGGGCGGTCTGGGAAGGCCGTCAGGCAGAGGAGCGCAGTACGGGCACAGTAAGCACAAAGGCCTTCAGATGGGAGGAAGCTTAGTGTGTTTGAGGAACACAATGAAAGGTGGCCGGGGCGGCCTCTGGAACATACTCCAGATGGAGTGCCACACGTCACCACTATGCTGAGGCTGACCTAGTGAGCAAGTCACTGCTGCTTAACAATTCCATGTCCTCCATGCCCAAAATGGCAAATGGCACTTCAAAATGCTACTGACCGATCCACACCTGAGTGCCAACTCCATAGGCGATAGAGCGCAACATGCTTGGTCACTACTCAGTGTAAGGCTGGAGTGGGCTGGATGAGTTTGGCCAGTCTAAGGACACCGTTCCATCCAGAAGTCAGTGGTGGGCTGGGGAGAGAGGGCTGGAGCAGGGGTAATCGGGGTGGCCCAGGAGTTGGACAGGAAGACGGCAGTGTTGGGGTAGGAGACTCGGAATGGGCCCTGAGGGAAGGATAACACTGCAGGCAAGGCAACAGTCTATAGATTTCCCTTTGGGGAAAAAAGTCACCGTTGTGTTTCTTTTGACAGTGCAGGGGCCATGAAAACTTCCCCAAATGAGCCAGTGACTTTCCAGCCTCCAGAATTGTCTAGCAAATGGCCAGGCAGTAGGATTCACTGCTGTCTGCAAACTTTTATGTTGTTTTGGAATCTTTCTCTACATGGCCTTCATTTTTAATACAAATACCTCATCTTCTCAGAAGGACAAGCAGGATATGTATTTCCAGGTTTTGGTGATGATAGAGCAGTTCTCTTCTTTGGATACCCTTGCCGTAGTTAGCACACCACTGGGTTAGATCTTTCTCCTTCTCAAGAGGGAACTTTACTGCAAGGTTAGGACTGTATTTCAGGGGGAACTTCTCATGTAGCTTACCGCCACAGTGAGAGACAAGCTTTGCTGATACCCACTAGCAGCTGGTAGTGCCAAATGTTATGAGCAGTCTGGGTTTCATGACTTGGGCTATGGGTGGTGAGAAACTGGGCATGGGGCTGCTTACCTGTTCTTCCTGCAGCGAATGGTGAAGGCAAGAAAGAAAAGCATCAGCAGAAGTCCACAGCTGAGACAAGTCCAAACAACACCCAAGAGGACAGGAGATAATGAAGAGATGGTTTTAGTGCTGTGGTGGGAAGATGTCTGAGGAGAGAATAGAGAGAAGCTGTTACGAATGAAGGATCTTCTGTAGACCAGACAGGAACTGCCCCATCATCACCAAAGCCAGGAAATACATGCCCTGCTTGAGCAGCTTGAGCAGTTATCCCTCCCTTCCCTTCACCATGCACCATGTCACCACTGTCACCATGCACGTCCCACCACTGTCACCATGCACGTCCGAGCAGTCCCAACACCCCATGGCTGCTCACTTACAATTGTTGTCCTGCAGAGATCATGAAGGGGTCTCCGATCCAGCTCCTGGCTAGGGAAACTGTCACAAAATTCGGAGCAGTTTATTTCAGGCTCCATGTCACCACATGCCGCTCTTGGTGTGTGCTTATTCGCAGTTTTGCTTATCCACTGGCAGGGATGCAGATCTTTGACCAAAACACAAGAGCAACTCAAATCCTTTCTTTAGAGGCCCCATTTTGGAGCTGGCTCCTGGCTCAGAATCCAGAATGAACAGCTCATTCAGGTGGAGGTAAAGGGTTATTTCACTAGGCTCCTTCACCAGACACCCTCCAGCATCCTTCATCTGGTCCCCTGTGGCCAGTGTGTATGATGGGGGTCAAGAGTGAGCATCTTAGTAACCATCAGGTTATGCACAGTGATGATTCTGACTTACCACCAGGTGGCAGTCACTGCTCCAAGTACTTTCACGCAGGTCCCTGAAGAAAGGGAAGCAATTAAACCTGTTAAACAAACACACACATGGTTTATTACAGAGGTTTTAAAATATTTTAATTATATACTTATGTACATTATTATATATATTACAAAGGTTTTAAATATAATATACTTAAATGCAATATATTTTAAGCCATTATAATAAATAATATTTTAAAAACAAAGATAAAGCACAGCTAAATATTTCTAGGTACAAAGCTCTGCAGTCTCTCTCCTCGGATCCTTTCTATGGCCCAGCACTGTGACAACTTTAGTCTAGACTTGCGAGGCACATCTTACATTTTTTCCCTACTAGGAAACTCTCTGCCCTTCCATGAACTTTCCATGAAGCTCATGGCTTAAGCTCCGTGTGTTCCTGGGTGACACTGGGTTCAGGTGCCTCATGATGTCTCTATACATGGTCGGTCAGTCACTTCAGCTCTTGTTCTCTCAGTGAGTAGAGGAACATTCTATGTCTACTCAACTGGGGTCACAGAAGGGTACCCAAGCCCTTTGCAGGAGTTATTATTTGTATGTTTTTAAACTATTAGACTAAACAGAAGTGAGACAGGCTACTTAGACAATAGGGAAAGAAATTGAGGAGCTCTGGGAATTCCCATAGTGTGAGTGGCCAGTGGATGGTGTTATTTCACTCAGAAGATGCTTGCAATATGAACACTGTGGTCTAAAAAGAAGCCCAACCTTGTAGAACAAATGCAGAAAAGCAAAAAGGCTCAAATTAGCACCAGTAGAAAAGATAGACATATCCCTAATTCTTGAAAGTAATCAGCCCCTTAATAGAGAAAGTAGATTAGAAATTTTACCAATGAGAAGTTAAAAGAGGATGGCAATTTTACTTTGTGCTTGTGAAACAGCTTAGCACAGTTTTCTTTGATTATGGAGGAAAATTGGACAAGGCAAAAAATATCAATTACTATTATTTCAATAGCCACTGAACATAGGGCCCATGTTTAAGCCAAAACAATAGTGACAGGTGTAGAATGCTAGCTTTGGATTCTATGTGCTTAGACACAAACAATATAGCACCAGGTGCTGCCCATTGATTGGCCTCTCATATGTTCCTGAATTATTTACCAGGTTCATTACAATAAAATCCTCAGAGAACTAAAAGACACTATCTCCTGTCAGGTCATTTAAATTCTTGCACAGTCTGGTCAGATTACTAAATGAAAAATTAGAAGCAAATATAAAAACCTATTTTCATTCTAATTTGGTTCAGATTTTAATTGCTAAAAAGACTTTTTTTTTCTTTTTTAAAAAGTTGCGTTCTCTATTGTGCCTTCTAGCACAGAGAAATATCACAAACCACAGGGAGGACTATACCACATGAGGGATTGGAAGAAGATGTATTTTTCCTATATTGACTTGTAATCACATTGGCAAATAAATACACTTATATTTAAACTATTATTAACTTCATGCTTATATAAGCTTGCATTATAAGGAAGAAATATGTATGTATGTGTATTGATATGTATACATGTATATATAAAACCTCATTTTGCTCTCACTATAGCAGTGTTGTGTGATGTAAACAACACCATTCCTCATTTTCAAATAAAGAAACCAAAGAGCAAAGAAGTGGAGAACCCTCCTTGAAATCTGCAGAGGCAGGAATCTAGGAGTTTACTGGGTCAATATCTTCCAAGTATACTCTCCACATGTGGCAGACGCTCTGGACTGATCTCTCCCAAGAAGACACTAATTGCTTGTTGGGTTTCTAGAGCTTTAGTTCCCAGAGCTGCACTTCTGTTGGTTCCCTAGAGCATGGCACACCATAGTGTAACTATACCAGTGGTTCTCAACTACACAATTTTGCACCTTCAGAGGACATTTGGAAATGTCTGGAGACATTTGTGGCTGTTAAAATTGGGAGAAGGGTGCACTTCACATCTAGTAGGTAGAGGCCAGGGAAGTTGCTAAACATCCTACAAGTCACAGGATGTCCAAACAGTGAAGAATTATCTGTCCCCAAATATCAGTAGCTCTCATGTTGAAAAACTCTTGTCAACATTGTGGATTCCAGAAAAACTAACAGTCTTAAACCCAAATAATCTTTGAGAGATTCTGTGAGCATGATGGGGTTGTCATCTGAATAAAGTCCTAGGGGATGTAATTCTGACTTGGGATAAATTTCTGAGTATATTTTAAAGGTCCCCTTGGATAGGCTGAACTCACTAGCATGGAACTTTGAATGCTAGGCCCCCAGTTTAGTCCATGGATATCCAGTGTAGAAACTTTATATACCATGATATAGAGCTTCCACACGGGGCAGGCATTCAACTCACAAGCTGGCACACATTCACAGAGATTCACACATGTCAAACTGGTGAAACAGAGATGGCTCAGTTACTGAGAGAAAAGAGTTGAATGGTTTCAAAGAGTGTTGAGTGAGAACCTAACTACTAGTTGGTCTCTTTCACTGATTTTATCCACTACTCAGTAAGTTCATTTGAATCATGGAGTCAGACTCTCTTTTAGTTCAAGGACAACTTCTGTATTACCTTTGATAATTGTTTCTATTCAGAGAATTCACGTTTATTTATTTAGAACAAATAAAAGCTTCAGTTGGATCTCTGCTATCTGTCTTCCATATCTGGTATTCTCTTTGTATTTTTGTCTTTTCCTCTTCATTCTGGGGCAGATTTTTTTTTTCAGTTTGTAATTGATATTACTGAATTTATTTTGTACTATGTCAATTTGCGACTCTAAGGATTTTATGTTTATTTCTACTGCTACATTTTGGGTTGTTTTGAACTATTTTTTTTATTTGAGCAAGTTTCCCTTACTTCTATGCCTCAATATTAGCCTTTTATTGCACTATAATTGCCTATATCTCTATTATAGAACAGCCTCTTGAAACCTTTTGAAAACACAAAAATATGTTTTCAATAATTTTGTTGAAATTGAAAACAGAAAAGACATTTTATGTATGTATGTATGTATGTATTTAGAGGAGGAAATAGTAGTTTATCAATTTGCCGGCAAATGAGGAGGTTGGCAGACTCCTGTCTCAAAGTACCAATGTCCTCCAGAAATGACACTTTTAAAGATACTACCTTCCTTTGAATCTATAGAGTCATACCTTTTTATATTATAATGTAATATATTTTCATAGAGCCTATAATGACTTTTTCAACTTTATTTATGTATCATCTACACATAATAAAATGTATCCATTTAAAAAAAAGTGTTGAGTGATTGGAAAATGGATGGGGAGTAGTCAGAGAGGGTAATGGTGAGACATGTGACCACAAGATAGACACAGAATCCAAAGCACAAAGAGAAAGGCCTACCAGGACCCTCCAAAAGCAACCCTTGCCCAATGTCCCCACACACAAAGTCTCTACAGGTAAACTGTTTATGTCAGAGACAATAGTAGACCCAAAGCCATTTATAGTGGTGTTTTCAATTTATTTGATAGAGATTACAGAGTCCTTCTGAGTGATTAGGATCAGGCAAGTAGACACTGCATCAGTTATACTGTTCCCAAGTGCAAGATGGTCATTTACAGAGTCACAACTCTCAACAGCCCAATATCTTTTCCACAAAATCTCCCCTATTTTTTTACACATTCTTTCTGGCCACTTTAAAACTAGTCATACAACTACTGTCTTTTAACAAGTTGTGTTGCAATTGGTCAAACTTCTGCTACTGTCCATGAGGAATTCACTATTATGGGAATAGCTTTCTCCTGTAAACAACTTGAAAACCAGACAAAACATAGGAAACAACTCTTTTCAGGCATTGGACAACACACTTCATAGGACTCTGGTTTCTAAGAGACACTACCTGGAGTCAGTTTCCAGGCCACAGCACATGGAAGGAAAACCAAACAGAACCTTAAAGTCTTCCTGATGTAAGGAAAATACATTGGAGTTTCAGGATGTTGAGGTGGCTAGATTTTGTGGGCAGAGTATAGAGAGGAGGGAGATATGGTGGGGGAAGCCCTTTGGAAATCTGCAGGAGATTCCCTCAGTCTTTTACTGGGTACAAATATGGGCATGACTAAGAGGAAAGTACTTGAAGTTGAAGAAATAACCACTGGTAGGCAATAGCTGAATAATTCCCAGAGTTCACACAGGGCTGAGACTACTTTGTGTTCCCACCAGCCAGAGTGGAGAGACCCCACAATATACAGGACAATGGATAGAATCCTTAGAAAAACCATCTTAGCAGTGAAACTAAATTAACCCAAGACCAGAGGCTACTCTGGATATGCCCAAATATTGTTTGAAAGAAAGCCTCAAAGGATCAAAGTGATCCATAAAGAGTTCAACAACATAAAATTCAAAATGTCCAACATCCAATGAAAAATTGCCAAGCGCCCAAACAAAGAAAAAAATTCGACCTATAACCATAAATTTAAAAAATAGATCAATAAAAATGAACACAGAAAAAGCAAAAATGATATAACTATCACATAGGACCTTAAAACAACTATTATAAATATGCTGTAGGATATAAAGCAAAACATAAACAAAATGAGGAAAAGAAATGAAAGATATAAAGAAGACACAAATTAAACTTCCTGACATAGAAATATAATATCTGAAATAAAAATATACCAAATTAGACAATGCAAAAAGAAATATTGGCTAACTCAAAGACATGGCAATAGAAATTACCCAGAAAGAAGCATAAAGAGAAAAATAATTGATAAAAATAAACATAGCCTAAGTGAACTACAGAACAATAGCAAGTGGCCTAGCAAATGTGTAATTGGTGTTTCAGGAAAAAAAGGGGAGGAGAAAGAGTAGAAAAAATATTTGAAAGAAATAATGACCCAAATTTTTTCACATTTGATGAAAAGTATAAACCTACAGGTCCAAAAAGCTCAACCAATGCAAAGCAGAACAAACACTAAAAACAATAACAAAACAAGGCACATCATAATGAAATTACTAAAAACCAGCAATACAGATAAAATTTTAGGAGCAGTCAGATTATGTACAGAGGAACAACAGTAACACCACAGATTTTTATAAAAAATTATGCAAGCCAG